AAAGTTTCCATGTTATCGTCAATACCTTTTTGTAGCTAAAGTCAACAAAAAACTGATTATTTTTAATGTCATAATTTTGATATGCGTGTAAACAAAAATAACTGTACTGGTTAGTTTGCACTAAATGTTTTAAAGAACAGTTATATTCAGTTTGGTTTACATACATATTACTGTTATATGTTTTCAAGGGTAATTTTCAAGATTAAGAATGGAACGCGGAAAACCTTCGAAACGAAAATAAATAACCCGAAAGGGAGAGAAGCTGCTCAGGAAACAAATTCCACCTTCAGCGGATTTTGGATATTCATGATTGGAACCGTTTGACGTGTCATAAATGCACACGACGTGTGTCCTAACTGATCCACGGTCAGAGGGTAGTTCTTTAACATCCAAACTGATCCAGAAACATGGCAGGTAGAAAATGGGGTCACTTGAAACATCCAGTTTGATTCGCGAGGAGTGAAAGATGCCCTTTTAGTCCCTGTAGCCTACAGGTAGCCAACACATTTTCCCGCTGCATTTCATTATTACTGCCCATTTCAAAACGTCAAAAATCTATGAGATTTCAGTTTATATAAGTGTACAGTTATGTCAGTGGTTAATATTTCAACGAAATGTTACTCAAGTCACTGCAAATAATCTAATTGCTATGATCTATGGAACGGGTGTACACACATTACACAGTTGATATTATTTCAGCGATTAAATATGTTTTTGGTTTGTAATAAAGCTATTTTTGTAAATGATAAAATGTGTCTGAGCATGATAAAAATTAGAAACAGTCTGATTTGTGTTGAAACCTACCCATAAAGTTATCTTCGTTACGTTACTTCTCGTCATGCTTTTCAATATTTGAGTTCATGGAAGTGATGTCAAATAATTTCAGCAGAACAATTATTAATTACAATGTTGGTTTGTCAAATCTTTCTGGTTCGCAAATTACAAACTTTTATAACATACGTTCGATAATTTTTCCTTTGTTACTATTATACAAATGTAACCAAACTAGAATATAATTTTGGGACTATTCTAGTTACTCCCAACACCCGTTTTATGTTAAGACTCCGATATCTTGACCAGCTGAAATCGAAATTAACAGCTTTACTATTTTACTATGGATAGTTATGTTGACAAGATTGAAATGATGAGTTTGATGTTAAGTTCTAGCACAGAAAACGTACTACTATACCTAGTTAGGTTATAGTAGTACGTTTTCTGTGGTTCTAGCGACTTCCAGTTTTCCCAAGTGGGCTTATTCCCTTTGTTAGTCGCTATAGTTGGGATTGCGCGCTCTGCAGTGTAAAGCCAGCGATGCCATCTCTGACTATGTTCTGGGGTATGAGCGTGACGGGTTAAATAATTATGCAAATTCCACATAATCTCCATCACCCACTGGGTACAGTTAAACTGAATTACGCGAATGTTTAAACTGCATAACTGTAAACAAAGTGTAAAAGAAGATATATAATTGTGCGTTATTAATAGCATTTAATTTGACACAAAACAAAATGTTGCAAATCATTATGTAAAGGGGTTTTAGTAATACAAACGCAGTAGTGATCTTATGGCAATTATTAGCATAAATAGCCTAATGTCATTGATTTTCTGGAGAGAAGGATATGTATGTTTATAAATTGTTCTTGTGTATACTGTTTTCAGCATTTGGTTCATGTGTCAATCTGTTATAGGGTGAATAATTTGTCGAAATAGTTGTAAATTATAAAGTACAAAATATTTGTTCATTCTGTACTCTGGTGTTTCGAGTGACCACTTACAAACAACAATGTGACTGAGTTGTCAATGGTCTGTATAAGGGTTTTGTCCTGTACTTTTTTAAAATACCATATTCAGGTCGTTGCACGCTCAAAACCTATCTAAGTATGGAAAATCAAAAATGGACGAAATATGTTTGAAATGAAAGGTTGAACTTTTGTCATATCATTTAACTCTTGTTTCAAGTTACGTCTTGGTGATGGACTTTTCTCTATAATTCTAAAAGATTCGTTTTGTGACAACTTAGAAACTCTTCACAATCTCTAATCAACTTGAACTTCCCAACCATCAGTAAGAATCTCATTTAACAATTCGTCAAAGACACAAAAAGCGAAAGTTTAACTCCAGAAGGGTTGTTGGCGTTTCAACTTCTGCTGTCTTTGGAACAGCTGATACGGTTGACATTATCTCTGGACCGAACTTAGGAAATGTTATTTTTGCTAAACTTGTGACAATATTGCGCTATCAGCGACTCGCGGTGAATAAGCCGAAGGAAAGAATGGAAAGATAGCGTGACGTCTGCGGAAAGGAAATGAAGAAAACTCGCGTTGAAATATCAGAGTATTAGTAGCTCGCAACTTATCGAGAGATAGCGAGGTTTTATTCCGTTAAATACGTCGCCTTTCTTCGTTTTATACGGCGACTCGATGATTTTCTCGTTCGCAGTCATTAAATTCACCGCGTCTGAACACATTTTTGTATTCCATTTCCTTTCTGGATTTGCTATCTTGACAAGGGTGTAATCACGGGGGGGAGGGAGGGGAGGGAGTCGATCGGAACAACATATCTCTCCCTCTGTCTCTCTCACTTTATATACTTAATTAAATTGCACCGACCAATAACTGCGATATTTTCTCCGATTCTGTTTGCCTTTTGCTGATGTTTGAGGACTCTAGCGTTCTCTGGGGAGAAGATGAAAAGATTCGATCGCTGATTATGATTCCTCACTAATGGGGAGGGAAACGTCTTATGTAGTATGATTCTGTCTAAGTGAGACTCGACATCTGTGTTCTTTAGATGTTAAGAGTTATCTGCTCCATTGACAAAGATGCTTATTTCAAATGGTTAGTTTAAGCTTATTTACAAGGGTAATTTAAAACTTATATTTAATTGTTAATTTATGTTCACTTCGTAAAGGATATTCGTACTGAATGAAATCGTACTTTTTATTGGTTAATTTTGTTTTATTGGTTTTTGATTGTATATAAGGATTATATATTGTAATTACACCCCAATATATTCTTCTTGTATGACCTATATAATCAGCCATTTTCTTGGTTCGTGGACATTTAATCCCATTTACCATACGGAGGCCTTGCACTGACATAGTATTGAATAACTACTACAACCTTGGTAACTAATTACCTCCACAACCACTTAACAAAACAATCACTAAACACTCCGTAAACCAACAAAAATCAACCGACAAAATTTACTCCCAACAACAACTACGAAAAGTCGTCAACTCGTAATACACATAAAATTTATAACATACACACAGTGACTTCCAATCTTCTAACCTATATCTGATGCCGAAGAGGACTTCTGTCCTAGAACAGTCCCAGTTGGCTCATCATCTGCTGAAACTTTACGATCGGTTCTTGAACGGTGGGCATTAATTGCGCCAACTGACCTGACTCAGGTAATCGGGTATTCCTGAATTGCGCCAACTACTCCAAAGAGCCACCCGATAAGTTCATTGACGGGGTTGGAAGTGGCGGCCCTCTTTGACTGTATAATTGGTTAGGTTAGGTTAAGTTAGGTTAGGTTAGGTTAGGTTAGGTTAGGTTAGGTTAGGTTAGGATGACACGTAAACAAGGTTATTCCTTCTGCCGGCAAGGACTACTAGGCTTGACGCATTTTTTGGGACCCTTAGGGCCGCTTTCCCCAAATCAAGTTTAACTTAATCTCGGTTAACTTTAATCGGTGGGTTAAACTTAGGATGGCTTTCCCCACTATTTTGTCATGAAAGTTTAGTTTAACCCCGGTTTAACCTAGATTTCTTTGCAAGCAACAATGTTGGCAACACTGTTATGCAATTTTGTCTGCAATATTAGCTGTTTAGCTCCCCACTATAACATATCTGTCATTAATTTTCTCGTGTTTTGGTTAGCCTATTTGTATATTTGAATTAAGTTTCGTGTCATTGTCTCCAATTATTTACATTAAAAAGAAACATTTTTATTTGCAGGCGACTTCTATTATATAAGCATTTCGTTACTTGTGTTTAATTAATCTCAAACTTAATCAAACAGTAGGCCTACTGCACGCATAAAGTAACTGCATTAATTACAATCATGTGAAAATAAAATGTTGGGAAAGACGCAAAATTAATGTTTGTGGATTAAAAACTAGAGCCTAACAGCCTAACCTTTGTAATGACAGGCATAGGCTACTCAGCATTAGATACGTTCCATCAATGTTTCTAAACTAAATTTAAATTTCAGGCCTAGGCCTATTACAGTAGTTGTTAATTCACACATGATAATAGGCTAGTGGTTAGGCCCGAATGTTAACTAATATTTACTTTTGTGTAACGTAAGAATCGTGTTGAAATAAAATCAAACCAAAGGCTTATTATGAGCGATTAAACTTTCCAACCAATGTTGCGTTTCTGTGGACAAGGTAACCTATCGATTGTACACAACTACAATACTACCTACCGAAAATATAATAATTTAGGCCTACTTTACGCATTTAAAAACCTTAAAACCATTATATCTGTAGCCTTATATTTTTTAATTTGAAATAGTCATGAATTAATTGTCTACATGGGTTCTGGTTTGCTATTTCTTAATTTATTTCCAGTTCAGTTTATTTTAGGTTATGTTTGACAAGACAAACGTCAAACAAGGATATTTTTTGTCATTGCCCATGCCGAACCATAGACTAACCAACACCTATGGCCGAACGTAACTAGTCAGCCAAGAGCCAATCAAAATCAAGCTATTCTTCTTCTCTTCTGGTTTAACCCATGAATCGCCAGTTAAACCAGCCTCACCCGGAGGGTTAACTTAAACCTAGTTTAAACGGAGAAATTATTTTGGGGAAAGTGGATCTGAGGTTAAATTAGAGTTTAAACCACGATCAGAGTTAAACTTGATTTGGGGAAAGCGGCCCTTAGAGGGTTAGGTGTAATTAAGAAACTCTTTGGTGCAATTAATGCACGACCTTCTTGACAATCCAGCCAACTTTTTCTATAGTTTCCACATGACTCGTTGTTCCAGGCAAGTCACTGCCTGTCCATTGCATCGTGGAGTCCGTGGCGTCCCTGCAGCAGTGGAAGTCCATCAGGAACACTCGCAGGACAGTCCTGGAGACCGACAGCTACGTCATCATCCCGGTCAACACCACATTCCAGGACCTGGTCCAGGTGGCGCTCCAGAGACTCGGGTATCCCAAGGAGAACGCTTCTGCGGCCAAAGGTTAGGAAAGTTCTAGCTTTTCTAGGAAATTTGTTGTTGAAGTCAAGTCTGTTTAGGTATTTCCCGTAAAGGAAGTGAACTAAAATGACTAGCGGTCAGGTTTCATGCGTCATATGTATGAGAAAAGGCCATTTATTTAGAAGAGTATGGGCTTTCAAAGGGACTTCTTCAATCTATGACTGGGATAGATTAATTTTTGAGAGTAAACACGTGTATTACAACAATAGAAACCTCACAGTATTGTAAGATATAAAGTTAAAGTACAAATGAGTCGCTTAAAAATCAATTTTCCGTCTTAGTTAAAAAAAAAAAAAACACAAATATACATATTTCAAAATGTATTAGGGTCTTTTGTTATGGTTTTGGAACTACTTTTTCAACTTTTTAACACTCCAACGAAATTTGTTGAAAATGTCTAACTTTTCGTGCACGTGGAGTTCAGAGGTTTTGTTGATTCATGCAATGTTTAAAAGTGTTTGTTTTGTCTGCTTTTATATTATACGAGATACAGTTGGCACTCAATAATCTCATTTGATTGCCATCGAGATCCGTGTTTTATAACCATTTATTTGTTCTGAAAAAGCCTAAGAGAAATAATATAGAACCCTGTAGCCAATACAATTATGTATCATAAGTTGAGTCAAACAAGATTCGTTTAACGCTATTGCGACTGACTCACAGAAACATTTTGTTTGCAGGATCCGTAGTGATAAAGAACTGGAAACCCCTCAGTTTCGACAAGATCGCAGAGAGTCCTCTAGTCACAGTGGGAGATATACTGGGAGAACTGACCACAGTGGCCACTCTTCGGATACAAATCTTCAGGTACACCCTGTAGATCTGTTAGTAGCTTTGAACTGCATGATTTGACAGATTCTGACCATTCACTGACAACATATATCTTGACGAACTCACAAGTTTCGGAAATTACTTTTTGCATTTTTGTCAAACGTTTAAAACCTAATAAAAAGTCATTATTTTGATAAAATTGCATGCGTTTTTATTTTTCCTGGTAACTCAAACAAGACATGTGCATTCTAAATTAGCATTAAAATTCAGAATTTTAAAACGAGTTCTTAATTGTTGTTTTGTTTCATGCAACCTCTTTTACTAGTTGTAGATAGTTTCTACCATGTCTTGAAGCTAACTAATGAATGCAATAAACATATACAAGTTGTTTTTAAATATTTATGAGTGCACTGACAGCAATATACAAATTTCAGTTTTCCTTGGTAGTATTTGGCTACTAAAAACTTTGTAACAATAATTTATTACTGTGTGCTAATTATAATATTTCTTTGTATCCTTCATTTAAGATAGAAGATCATTTTCCAAAACTGCAAATAAATTAACTTTCTAACCTTATGTGCATGAAACCTGTTATATAATTTTATATTTAACACCCGGAAGAATTCTCTAATGCTATTGTTCGTCCTTTCTGAAAAGCTAAGGGTATGTGACAGAATTTAAAAAGGGAAAGGCCAAAAGTAGAAAATCAGATTCAAGTTTAAGGACATTCAAAAGACAAAATCGAATAAATATTTGACTCATTGAAAACACTTCTTATTATTAAATAAATGTAGCGTTCTATCAAAACATTGTCTTAAATTCCGACAAAATGTCTTACAGTACAAAATTCGTATTTACTCTAAGCAATAACTTATTCGATCTGAGAAATGTGTTATTTTCATTTCATTTTCATTTTTATTTTCCACAGCAATGCCATTTACAAAAACATGTTATATCTTAGAAACGACTTATTCCATCCCTCTAGCATCTCAATTAATCAAAATAATGACTCAAAAGTTATAAATAATGTTTTACTCTAACAAAAAGTCTGTTATCCATCCAATATCTTTATACGGTTCTGTTTAATAGTAAAGTCATATTGAGCAGTTTAAATAGATTGACACCCTATAATCTATAGTCTGTATGACGCAATCTGTCTCTCGAACCTTCGTATGTCTGGGATTATCCCTGGGTGGACGGAAGATCAGGGGACAGGTCCCATCATACAGGCTATAGTTCATCCTATACTGTAGGTTGTTTGTCTAGACAATAGACAGTACAGTGTATGCTATTGTAGGCCTCGGACCAGCGTGCTGACAGATATGAAGGATAAGCTGCTGAGACTGCTGCTGGTACAATCACACGCTCTGCTACTGTCCTCAGGATGTCCCTTGGATGAGGTGAATATTAACAGCTTTTGAATATTTACATTGTTGGTGATGGTTTGAATATTTATTTATTTATGACTTTTAGGATATGTCATGTGAATATAGCATTGTTGAAAAGAGTTTTTACTATTTTTTTTTGGAATATGTCCTTCTAAGGTAGGGTGGGAGATTACTTTGTAACGTAGTAACAATTTTCACTATTATCAAAGGATGTTAAGGTATAACGTTTGTTTATAATCAACGAGGATAATAACAGGAAACGCATTAACAATAAAGTTATTGGATATTTTAGTGTTGTCAAAGTGTAAGCCTTTAAATTGGGAGTAAAAATAATCAACGGTCCATTAATAAAATATACGAATGAATGTCAATAGTATTTAAAATTTTGATCCAATCAAACTTATCATTACTAACTTTTTAAACATAATAGGTACAAATAATAAACGAAGTGGAATTAGAATTAATATTTCTGAAAAAAACTTTTCAGAAACGGATGAAAGGTAATTCACCAAATACAATAAATTCCAAGTTATAACTAACTCAAAAATTTGGTCACAGAATGTTTTTCAATTCCAGATCTATAATTATATTTAAAGAAATTAATATGTTATACCAAATTGTGTTTAAAAAAGTAGTAAATACTGCATTGACTTTTGCTTTGATAGGGCCCTAAACAAATAACGAATTTTCATAGCTAGAGGGTCTACCCTACCAATAAAACTACAAAAAATAAATTTAGAAGTTCGAAAATTTTCAGTTTGTTTTTATAAAATTTGATATATTTAACGCCTACTATAACTCTCCGGAGTAATACAAATTTAAATAATCAAAATATTACAAATTTTGTAAAGGAAACAATACAAAATTACAGTTTCCGTTAAAAAATTCAAAACAACATTTCCGTTTAAAATCCATAACGGTGTCAAAACAACGAGAACATTTTTACCATAACAAGAAAGTAATACAGCCAGACCTTATGCGCAACCACTATCACTATTTACAACCAATACTCGATAAGGGTATTAGCAAACTTAAGAAATACTGTTTACAAAGAGATGGAAAATTTATTGGAACGCTCTGATTAAATCGCGTGAAAAATTTATTGGTTTACGAGTCTCTAGCTTCAAGGCTGCAAAGCGAGAGCAAACAAAGGATCCGTTACATCATATATTCTCGTATTTACCTTCGAACTGAATCGGTTGTAATCACGAGCAAACAGAAGATTATTCTGCGCGTAGTAAATTACGAGTTGACGGAGCGCGTGCAGGTTTTGCAACCGAAGGTAAATCAGAGGACAGAAGCTGTGGTTTCGTGGCTGTGATAAGCAAACAAGGTGATAAGCCGGGTCTTATCTCAGTTCATCCTTCAAGACTCTTTATTTAAATAAGAGAGCCCCGTTGATGGATTAGGTTCATCAACAGTGACGAAAACAATGTAAAGCTCGCGTCACTTTTGACACATTTTCATGACTTCTCGTGTTATTTAGGTGTTTTAGGTGAATTTTTTGCTGCGGGAAGTTAATTTTTTTGGGATTAATTGAAGTAGGTAGACATTGTATTTATATGAAAACAATGCAACGGCATTTTCGTGTGTTGAAAATATATTTTCATTGTTTTTTTCCTCGTACGATATTTCTTTTTTTAATTTTTTTCAGCTGTTTGTGTTTTTTTTTTAAATAACAATTGATAACCATACTGAAAATAAAATAAATAATAAGAGTACAAATTTTCACTCTATTTATCAATCTATATTTTGGTTTCTATTGGATGTGTTTTTGATAAACAGCATAAGAATTATATATTGAGTTAGATCAAAATGATTGAGGTCAATTAACTTTTTTATATTCAAACAATGGCAACGTACTGTTCATAATATTTTACATTTTAGCTCAATTTCCATTAAAGCAATAATCTTCCGTTTAATATTTTTTGGATCCCATTACTATGCTGTTTTTAGGAGAACAAATATTTGTACAATATTGTAAGAGTTGTGTAATTGTTTATTCAAGTTAAATTAAACCGGTATCCATTGAATTTAGTTTTTAACATACATCCAAGAAACTACGCCTATTGTGAGTGATAAATAATCGCAGTTTTATAAACATCCAACTGCTATTGTACAGGTTTAATTTTCTCACAAAGACCCAACCTCCTATCGAGCTTAAGGGAAAGGAAATCGTACAAAAATAATAACCTATGGTTTGCAACTAAACAAAGACAAACATTTCAAAGTTTATCTACCATATTTTTGGGGTTTCTCAAACATAATTTACTATAAATTCATTTATTGTTTTTAGTTAAGAAAATTGAGCAATGGCTTTACTTTCACAGTTTGTATTCCTCACCACATTGAGTGTAAACCCCAAAATTCTAACCTACAAGCTATATAAAGCGAACAAAGAATGACAAAGTGTAAAACAAACAAGCTAAGTGTCGTAAGAGTAGGATAAAACCTAGAGACTGTTTGTGCTTAACAGTAGCTGTGTTTGTCAAGAGTATAATCCTGCGAAGATACCTGTATCTCAGTTCACCTTGGCGTCTGTAAATTATTATAAAACTTTGCCGTTTTAATCAGCTGAGGAAACCCAACAAGGGGACTTAATAAGAGACTTAAAATCCAAGATGATTTATTTGAGGCGTTCTCTACTGTTTGTTCCTCGCTTAATTGGCAACTTATAATCTTATGTGGTTCACATAAATACATGTAAGACGCGCCAGAGTTACTTACATCTACTTGATGTTTCAATAGAAGATCCGATGTTCCTTTGTTCCTTCAATTGTTTGGGAATAATGAGCAGATAAATGTGATTCTCTGTCTGTGGCTTCGCTAAGAATCAAGAATCAAGCATCACTTGTCGAATTATAACGTGAGTTCTTACGCACAACCTCATTATAGCTATATTAATGCTCATGAGAGAATCATTAAGGGTTTCTTCCCATAAGATCCCCCAAAACGCGTGTTAAATGTAGGTTTACATAATACTCTTTGAAAGTGGTCGAAATAAAAATTATATATTTTTACAGCCAAGACTTACTTCACAGAACGTAGGAGATTGTATGTTTGTTAGCAGATCACGCAATATTTTTAGACCTATTATCATAATCATCTGAAAATATTTTTATCCGAACAAATTGCATAAATACGACATCGGTCTTATCTCTTTTTTAAAGTCCATCGAGGGTTCAATCAACAGGCTCAACTATTTTTAACCATATCCACTCTATATCGGAATAGTAGAAAGTTTTAACAAGGTCGCTATGTAATTTAAATTTGTGCTGTATGATTAATACTACTTTATTATGGTTAAAAGTAGTTCCCTTTGCACAGTATTGAATTATATGAACTATATTATTGTTTTGTTATGTTTTCTACTGCAAACGAATCCAACTTGGACACAATTAAACCGTGTTTACTCATGTGTGCAGATGACGTTGTCCCAGCTGGTACGCAACCAGTGTGGACCCCTCAACATGTTCGAGCCACAGGAGGAGGTGCGTCGTAAGTTTGACCAGTGGTGGTCCATGCAGCTCAACCAGCAGCTCAGCCCCAGACCTAGGTTCCAGTGGCACTCCCCCCCTCCCACCGATCCTGAGAGGAAGTACGAGAGGGGTGTGGAGGAAAGGGTGCATCCAGCGCTTCAGGTAAACATACCTGTACTATCAATATGTTTCTTCAAGACAAAATATTAGGTACCTAGAAAAAACATTTAATATAGGTTTCAGAGGATTTTTGACATAATTTCTCCATATTTTCAAATCAAATTATTCTATCCTCCAAATCAATTATAACCATGTTTGGATATTTAGCTAGGCCTAAATTTTAGCCAGTTAGATGCCATTCAAAAATAGTACTGTTGGTTTTTTACGGCTTAGGACCTGGATTAGGTCACACCAAAACTAGTGCTAAAAATGTGAACATCAATTACCTGTTGATTTAAAAAACAAATCTCATAGTAATTTGTCCCGTTCTATGCAATTAAATAGATTTTACTCCAACATAAAACCGTTGTCCACAGTTAAAAAAACCACTTTTGTTTTTTTATCTCTGGGTAAATATTTCAACAGAGGAAACACGAATTGTATAATAATGCTTATTCACGGATATTACTTCTGATTTTCTTCTAGGCTACATTATATCACATAACTTAAATACTGTATGACAAAACAAGACTACACCAATTGGGTTGGGTGTATTTCTTTTTACCTCCAAAAATAATTTTCGAACTTTCATAGAACTTAATTTTCAACAGTATTTACAATCATTTTTGTGGTTCCTCAAAACGCCAGTATTAATTGATTAACTACCACGGTTTATAATTTTTTATTTTATTTTTAAGTAATGAAATCTTAAAGTTATATCAAATATATTTGTTAATGTGCAGATAAATAACGAAATCAATTCCAAACACATTTTAATTTTTTTGATTGAACCAACCATATATAATTTGAAAAATAGTTTCCTAAACAAAGCAAATCCTCAGATAACTTCTAAACTCTGTTGAGCAAATTCCGTGGATCAACTAGTGAATCCATAACGGCAGAGTATTAAGGAAATTTATGTACAAGTGGTTAAAGTGTATTAGACGATTTGCTCAGGGAGTTAAGGAGCGAGTCATTGGTGGGATAATATCCCGGCTCCCAGGTAAATCATGAGATCCCTAGGGATTTGTCAGTATTTCTCCCATCTGCACCTGTGTCCTGAGTAAACTTGGCATTAGCACTTCACCTTCCAAGCTCCGGCTGCTTGCTTAAGGAATATACTGCTTTGATTTTTAATATACCCGCCCCCTACAGGAATTAGTAAAAAAGTTGATATTTGGGTTTCAGAGATGACAACTATATACAAGAATGTTAGAGATAGGTTTTAGAGATAGTAACTATAAAGTAACAACAATTAAGGTTACAATGTTAAGAGAGGAAATGCTATTATTCAGTATAAGCTTTAAGTAATTCAAATTGATCGTAGTTTTTCACCTTAAATAAACATCAATTATTTAAATTTAAAGAAAAGTCCTTTTTAAACTAGATTACCATCAACTGTAGGTTCCAGAGATATTAACTAATGTAGTGAAAGCAATGTTTAGACAATATGTAAGGCTGTTATTTAAAACTATAGTATGAACCAACTTATTGTGAACTAGATAGTACAATTTTTTCACTTTGCATAACATTAAATTATATGAATTTATAGAAAAAATTGTAATAAGGTTGATCTAAATTGTTTTTTAATGTGTGTTTAATGGTGACTTTAGTAGGATTGTTTACAGCCAAAAGTAATAAATTTCCAGCTAAAACAGCATCACCAACTTTGTTTGTAAACAGAGTTTTCACCTGATTCATTGAGCTAATTCCATAGTGAACATAAATTTTATACACGTTTTGAATTTGATGATATTTTGTTTTTCTCCTCTATTTGTTTTATTTTTTGAACATTGTGTAATGTTGGGATATCTTAAAAAACTTAAAGTATTATTTTGTATATATAGGTATATTTAATAGGTACATAAAATCGGTATTTCCAACTAATCAGTTTGCATGTACAGTACTGTAGCTTCAATGTAAATTAAAGTTAGTCTTCATTGATTACATTTTTCACATTCTTTACAATACTATATCACTCATCAAGATCGTTGGTTATGTATTAGGAGCCATATCTAATTAGTGTTGTTCTTTTACAGACTGTCCAAAACCAGTATCCCACACAAAAAACTCGAATGAGAACCAGTTTCGATCCAGAACTTGAACTTCCAAAATTGCAAAGATGGTTCTTGGAAAACCAACATCCTAGTCGCCAACAGGTAAATTTATTTGAGTCTTGGTATTTCAATTTTTTTAGATGAAAAATATCCAAATTTTTAGCAAACTTTCATGCTTCTACATTTTAAATGCTTAATGAAAGTCACTTTTAAAGTTATTGTGGTTCAAGTATACAGACCACTTGCTTCAGGTGAATAATTTATTAAAGAAACAACTAATATGATTTTGGTTATAACATGATCAGGATTCCTGCTTTAACTGCAGAATAATTATCAATTTCTTTTAATCAATCCGCAGATATCACAATTTAACATTTTATGCTGCATGCAATACATTCTTGCATTTAGTCACAATTACATTTTTAAGTATTCACAATTTTACACACTCTGTAAAAAAATGGGCCAAAATACAAATTTCACTGCTAATTGGACTGTATTGAATTTTAGAAAATGTTTACAGTAGTCACTGAGCTATGGCTACTGTATTGTTTTACTAACAATGTTTTACCCCTTTTGCATAGTTAAAAAATGCAATGGAAAACAAATAATTAAGTGTAGTGTACAATATCAAACCAGAACTTTTGAGCTCAGGGTTAGTAGTAATTGAACTGTTCCCCTCATTCTATATATTCTTTCAAAAATAAATTGACTACATGCAATTTTTTTTCTAAGAGTTTTTTGTATCTTTGTGTTAGTCTGTGAAAAATGTTTATCCTAATACTCATATCTAATTGTTTTGAAAATTACTTGCACATCACAATGTTGAGAAAATTAAACACTATCATGCATAATTAACATCTTACACTTTTGTCTTTGTGACGCAGATCCAGCAGTATGTTAAGGAACTGAACAACCTAGAATCACGAAGAGGAAGAAAACCTCTGGATGTGAACAACGTTGTGTATTGGTTCAAAAACGCAAGAGCAGCCCAGAAGAGGGCGGAAGTGAGAAATATGACTCCAGGTAAAGCCATTTTAAGTATATTAAGGTTGTTCCTGATGAAATTCATTCAGAAACAAAATATAAAAGTTTTACAAATATTATCGATAGTAAAGCTTATTATTACTATCAATAAAAAGACTGCAACAACATTATAAGATTATCAGTTTAGAATAAACGTATTGAAAATTGGAAAATAGTTATCAGTCAAAGCTGGAAATTTTTTTTTAGATGGTTTAACCTTAATGAGTAACCTCTTCTGCGATGAGGGAAATGCACATGTAAATTTATCAACCAGAATGAATGAGCTTGACCCCAACTTCTCAATCAGTACAGATCTTTTGTAATCAGTTTCTTTGGTGAATTGTAAGAACAATCAGCTTATATATTTTTGGGGTTACAAAATTTATCACAATATGAGTAACCATCCAGTGAAGTTGTCCATATTTTCTCATAAGATGTAGGACAAGTGCATTTTACAAGTTAAAAAATTCCATTTTGTTGAGGAGTGTAACAACATTTCAGTATTTTCATCCTCTAGAATGACTAGTATTTTTTGTGTGTGCAAATTGACAAAGTAAATGTGAAAATTGAGTGGTTTCAATTCTCAGGTATTCTCCCCATTTATTTTTCTCCACCCCTGCAGATAAATGAGGTTTCAATTTGATTTTTAGCTCTATTGCATTATTACTATTCACCACGGGTTTGACAGTAAAGTACTGTGACATGGGTGAGCTAGTAGTACCGGTACCTTCAGAGACAAATGCAGTGTAACTTGCAGTTTTGAGACAGCAATGTCTGGCTAATCATCCTGTGATTTTATGCGTAATTTATACAGAAAATCTAGTACTAATTGTGGTAGTAATGCTTCTTTACTGCTCCAAATTCTCTAACTCTTTTGGTCTATCAGGTATGCACTGTCACCTGTCATTAAACGGATACAACAGCAGCAGTCAGAGTCCTAGCTCTCCTGTGTACATGATGAAGTCTCCCGTAAGTGTCCATGAGGATGAGGATGACGAGGACCAGGATAGATCCTCACCCATAGGACCTCTGTCACTGACCACCACCTCCCGGAACAGTCCCTCCCCCTCACCACGACTGCAGCGACCTGCATCAACTGACCAGGTGAGTTGGGGTAACAGCTGTTAGTTGTGTGGAAGAAATAAGAAAGGAATGAGGAATATCGTGTAAAGCCAGAGGGGATGAGGATAGATTGAAGGAACGAGAAAAAATTCTCTTTCCTCCTTAATAAAAACAAAATACTCAACCTTAAAAACTGGTTTGTTAATATATACCCTTGTCCCTTGTATAGGCTATATGTTTTTTTTTAATTAATTTCAATCTCAGTCTTTGGAATACTCTTGGATGAACTGGAAACATTTTCTGTAAACTTCTAACAATAGGCTTCTAGTTTTCAATGATTTAATACATGAGTTACACAGAGACGGTGGATGAGCAGTTTGATTCATCATAGGTAATATTTAGCACAGAACCGTGAAAAAATTGAAAATCTTTTAAACAATATAAGCTGGTCTAGAAAAATAAGTTTATCTAATTATATGTATAAATTACAGGTAGAAGGAGTTAAACAAGAACCCCCAGACCAGGAATTACAGTCTTCCCGACAGTCTCCAAACAACCACCACCTAAACAACAATAACAACAACAACAACAAGGACTTGAACAACGAAATGTCAAATGAAGACGATGATGAAATGGAAGATGTCGGATCTGAAGGAGAGGATGGAAGCAAGGCGGGAGAAAACCAAAGTCCCGATGAAGAAAACAGGATTCAAGCCTTCAGAAACCCAGGTTCTCCGGACCTATCGCTGATCCCGAGGACATCCACTGCTGGCTTCCCCATGATGCCTCACTCCACTCCGCCTCCGTGGTTCAGCCACAGCATCATGTACATGAGCCACTACATGCCCAACCTCAACTCCGGTCACAACCCCGCACAAAGTTCTCCACAAGGATTGAATCTCTCCGCTTTGGCTGACGAGAGAAGGAAACGTAACAGGACCTTCATTGATCCTGTGAGTGAAGTCCCCCGGTTGGAGCAGTGGTTCGCGATGAACACTCACCCGTCCCACAACCTCATCCTCAAGTATACCGATGATCTGAACAGAATGCCGTACCGGCAAAAGTTTCCGAGGTTGGAACCAAAGAATGTTCAATTTTGGTTTAAAAACCGACGAGCAAAGTGTAAAAGACTGAAAATGTCACTGTTTGACAGTCCCGAGAGTGGACTAGCTTCCCAACAGTCTTACAACCATCTACACTTGGCGGCCGCTCTGTCTGGGGAAAACTACCCTCCCAGAGACTGAGCTCTCAGCCAAGAGAATGTGATACCTTTGACTACGAGTAGACATTCCATTCTCATGGTAAAGGTGTAGCTAGCTTTTGAATGATAGGACATAGTTGAATCGGGCCACTGCAGATTGCCGATATAAATTACTGGTTTCTGTCAAATACGGAACCTTTTAACGCAACCAAAATGAAAGGAAAACTCATTTTAAGCTATCTTCTTTAACATCACATAAACAACCTCAGTAAGAAAAACTGTAGACTGTGTTACAATGCCGTTACACAAGCTGTTCGTTTAACTATGTTCTATTTAAACAAAAAATTAGCTACTACTGATCCATATAAATGGCATGTCTACTTCAGTTTCCAAGAGTCAATGGTAATTTTGGTAATACCTCACAGTATTATGGACTAAATACATTCCGTCTATGTAATAATATGTATCAAACATTATTTTGAAAAACTTGTGATATTCGTACTTACCGACTGTGTTAAATGTTGGTATAAGCTGGTTGTTGGACTACAATGAAATACTGTTATTAATTTATTCTAAATAAACATTCCAACTAATTTGTAAGAAAATTATTGATTTTTCAAAGTGTTATAGATTTTTTGTGTAATGACGAAGATCTATAGTATTTCTAACTACATACACATTTTGTTTGTTGAGCTTTTATTGCTGTGTTTTTAATTTTATTTACTCAATTATTTTAAAAAGTCTTTGATTCTATTAGTTATTCCACCTCCATATATATGTGTGGTTTAAATAACACCACTTTCTTACAATATATTTTTTTTCCAAAAGAAACTATTAAACAAATTATATATTTTTTCTGTTAACATAAATCTTACAAGCACAAACTTTACCAGCTTTGTAACATTTCCCAAACCGAAGGTTTACTGTTTAATGATCTCGTAAGCCAAATATTAATGCTTGCCAGTATATTCATAGTTTGTACAAAGGAAACCTACATACATGGAGACAATACGTTTTTGTGCTGTGTCCTTTAATGTACACGTTTATGGATGATATTGTGAGATTGCTTCATTATGAATTCTATGTTTTGTTTTTGATTTTTTAGTACCTTAGTTTTATGCTTTTGTTTGTGTTTTGTTTTTCTACTTGAGTTAGCTTGTGTTAAACTTTGAACTAGGCGCTTAAAAGATTTTATCAGAACTTTGCAAACATGTACTGTAATTAATTACTGTGTTCAAATTAAAACCAAAGATGATGTCTACGCTTGTTGAGAGTGATATCACTTAGTGTACAAAGTGTAATTTACGAGTCAATGTCAATTATGTATCTTTGTTATGTTTAGTATCGCAGAACACCTTACGGTGCTGATTGTTTTATCGATGATTGTTTTATATGCAAGAATTAGATGAATTATTGTACCATACCTGAATGTTAATGTATCTACACGATTGATGGTTACATGTTGTACATATACAGTAAAGTTATTTGGAGTTAATTGTGTTATGCTCTTTCACCCTTACCATAAATCAATTTAGAATTATTCATTGAGGAAAAATCATAGCTTCGTAGGTCTGTCTCTTTTTATTTAGGTTTTCAAGTGCTAATACAATTTTAAAACTATAACTAAATTTAAAACGCACCATCCACCCAACTTGACTTCAGGCACTCCTTGTCTCTGCTTCAGGTCTATTCAACTGACTTAAGAAAATGAAATCAACAATTTGAGATGGTAAAAGTAACAGGACCTTGATCTTATAAAATGTTAATAACTGAAAATCACATTAAATTTTTTTAAACTACTCGAAATACCAAAATAAATTAATAAGGGTTGTCAAAATTTAGGATCCGAATCTAATATCAAAATGATCAATAGGGTGCTTACTACAGTGAATATTGAATAGGGTGTTTTTAATGTAGAAAGTAGAATCATTTACTATATAGTCAATGGTAGAATTATCCAATAAGAACTTGTAACAAAATACAATGGTAATACCTATTGGTCAAAAGAACTACATTGGAATTTTTTGTAAATCATTTTTTGATTAATATACAAATTTTATTATGAAATATATAAGGTTAAGTTTATGTTTAGTAATGTAATCTTTTCCTTGACAAAACGAATTTAAAATTATATTATTCCCACAACAAATATGAAGAGTAAAAAAGATTATGACAAATATTTTCTTAAACTTATTAGATCCATTCCATATTTAAAGAACATTAGGTTTAACAGCTTTGCATGTAATCTTTAAATTGACCAAATTTTATAAAAATCTGATGGTTCACATTGAGAAATCACTTTGAGTGAGCAAATATATGAATTTGAATAGTGCTTTCGGCCCCTGCCGCCTTCAAAATAGGAAATAGCTTTTTGCATATAGGGGAAATTGTATAGTGACTGTTTTATGAGTTTTACCAGAAAAAGAACTCTTAAGATGATATTTTGCACTCAAGCACTTATGTAGGCCTATCTTGGACGACAATTATTATTTCGTAAAATTACTGTAGATTTATATACTGTATATGAAGATATTTTATTTGCATTTATGTATCAGTTCCAATGATTTGGAGAAGGTTAAAGTCATATTTCTTATCTCTCAAAGTTAAGTATTTAAATTAGTGTTTCTATAATAGAATAAGCAGCTCTGTAAGGAAACTAGAAGGAAGTTGAATTGCATCATCTCCTGACCAGTGTATATTGCTCAGAGATGTGCAATGTACACAACTTCTACAACATCTTATCACTCATGCCTATCCAACCATGCTGCTTCCTCACACATTGCAACAACATAGCCTTCCACCATCTTCTGGTCAATGGTAGTCCTATAGCTAAGGCACATTTCAGAAACTTTCGAATGAAAACACTTTTCAAATACTAGGTAAACTCTCCAAAAGACAATAATTTTACAAAGGGATGTTATTTTATTCACAGTACAAAATATACATTATTTACAATCAGTTAATATAGATTAAAACACAATATTGATCATTACATACAACTAGATTATTTGGATTGAGCAATGAAATAATTTGATATAATTTCAAATTGATCTTCTACAAGTATTCAAACTTCAAATGTTAGTATTAATAAATATTTTTATGAGTAACCAGTAGATCAACTAGATATTTTTTTCATAAATTAGAAAAAGCTAGCATAATTATAGGAATGATCGTATGAAGGATGAGCTGCATGATGAGGCACATAGTAACTCAGCGGCTCATGCTCATGCTCATGATGAGATTGGGACTTAGCATGAGCTACAGCTTCCATATGTGCAGTCTTGGCAGCAGCCACTTCATGAGTGTCCGCCAAATGTCCATTGGGTAGTACAACTGGAATACCATAGCCGTGGTGTGAGCTGCTGTATCCATAAGCACCTCCGTACCCGTAATCTCCATGGCCGGCATAGTATTTTTCAGCCTTAGCATTGGCAACTGCCAAGAGATGAGCAGATTTGGCAGCAGCGACTTCTTTGGTGTCTGCAATGTGACCGTTTGGTAGGACCACAGGGATACCATATCCGTGGTGAGATCCGCTGTATCCGTAACTTCCTCCATAACCGTATTCTTGATGGCCGCTGTAGTACTTGTCGGCTTTAGCTTGAGCGACGGCAGCAAGATGATGGGATTTGGCAACTGCCACTTCTGGAGTGTCAGCGAGATGACCGTTGTGCAGGACTATAGGAATGGCAAAGGGGCCATGGTATTTCTGAACGTGTTCCTCTGCAAAATGATGAACAGGGAGTTCTTGATGATGGCTTGGGAGTTCTTGGTTGTGAACTAGGTATTCTTGATGATATACTGGGTATTCTTGACGGTGAACTGGGTACTCCTGGTGATGAACTGGGTATTCCTGATGATGAACTGGGTATTCCTGATGACCAGAGTATTCCTGATGATGAGTTGGATACTGATGATGACCGTGGGCTGCCACAGCTGCCAGATGAGCACTCTTCGCTGCTGCTACTTCATGGGTGTCTGCTAGGAAACCGTTATGTTGTACCACAGGGACAGCGTGATGATGAGGCTGAGATCCATGGTGTAGAGGTCGAGGATGGAAGAGTGAAAACTCTGGAGCACATACAGCTTGCTGAACAAGCACTGCAGCGACAGTCAAGAAAAATGTCTGGAAGTAAAAAAAAAAACATTAGAAAACTTCTATGGTTGAAATTTATTAAACCCACTGTTTTGTTATTTTGAATTATTTCAAAATTTTATCAATTGTTTATTAAAAATTTGTGGATGTATGCAGTTTGAACTAGGCGTGTATTTTAACAATGCTACAGAATATTTAGTTTAACAATATCCTGATATCTTTGAAGATATTGTTAACACATTATATTTTAACAAGACATCTTCAGAATATTTCCTACGAAAATATGTGTGTTATTTACGTATTTATATGTATAAGTGACCTTAGTTTTACCAAACCAAATTCTCCTCCCCTGATTTGGACTTTGATATTAAAATGTATTTCTTGATCGGCTTAGTTTAGTTCACTGACTAATTTAATTGGTACGTTGAAAAGTATGTATTAGTACAATTATTATTTTTACTTATTTTCCCCTAACAAATTATAGCAAAAAAATGGAGTAATCGCTAAGGGATATTTTAAAGAAGAAGACGTTTGGTTATATTCAAACTGATTTTGAAAACCAAACAAATTCTTTCATACAAAATCCAAACAAAAACATAAGGTTTCGATCAAAAATAAGTTTTTTCGCACAGGAAATATGTTTTGAAATGGAAACAAATTGTTAATCATACATATACACAAAAATAATAGTCATCACAGATTAAAAATTTTAATAGAGTTTATTTGGTCTTGAATAAGCTTAACTGTGTTTACTACTACAGTAATAAGTACAATTGTAACAATACATATCCGTATTGTATTTACGATACAAACCAATGTTTTTAGTATTTTTTATTGCTTCACAAATATTATTATTAGTGGTGATGTTTTTATATAACATTATTTGGCAGACATACTTTGAAATATACCAATTCATAAAACTGAATTTATTATCATCACAATGCTCAAGAATTGTACAGGTTTATGATACCAGAGTAAACATTTTCTGTGCAACATTTATTTGTTTCTTTTAATAATTAAACTAAATACTTGTTGATAAATTAAAATTAAAAAGGTCCTTTAGTTTTCAAATAATAAATACAAATCACAAGTCTTTATTCACAACTTTATCCAATTAAAGCAAAACAAATACAACCTTTTTAAAAAAAACAAAGTTAAGCATAGTAATTTAAAGTGCTAAATATGTTGGCCCTATTCAGTTCAATAAAATGTATTACGGTATATACGGACGGTACGGAGCCACGGTTCGGTATAGTTTGTTTCCATTGTACCCCTATATCGATAAAAGTACGGTAAATAATAGTGTAATCATTATTCAATAGTAACAACTAATGTTTTTCGCTTTTCACTGTATTTTGTAATTTGTTAATATACTGTTGATGGCTTGTTATAAACTCGTGTTACAAATCTTTTGTTTAATTTCCCTGTTATGTTGCTCAACCAACATGTTTACTTGGCAACCTATAAGGCAAATGTAAATTTGTTTTGACTTTCAATTTAATATTTTACGTAATTAGATTTTTGTTGGCAGTTTTAACTGCAGTTAACATGTTTTTAGGCCGGATATAATTATTTGAACATTTGAAGGAAATCGTCGAATTCGTTTTGGAGATACATAAACTTAGCATACATACAAGCAAACATTGCTCATATTTTCAAATTATGTAAACACTCAAAACAACTGCAATGGCAACAATGTATTACTCACCTGATAGTCCATGTCTTCCACTGATGCTACACACACACTGACTGCTGGCTCCTCAGTTCTACGGTGTATTAATACAAGAACTTTGGTAACATCCTGAGCACCGGACCATCACTAACACTTCCTCAGAATGCTATGTTGATTGGCACACAGACCTTGAGTTTTGTGAATGCAGGTCACCTGTTAGATAACCACATAACTCACGAATAGTGCCAGAATCGTTACACTTCTAATTATTATGAAAAACGTCCTTGTAGCAAATGTAAGTGATCATGTCATTAAGTTGTTTACTAATCAAATAAAAATGTTAAACTATACTGGAACTATTAGTCACATCTGTGGTTTAACTATTGACCAACTATTTGTAATATTCGTAAGCCTACTGTAATTTATAAGAATTACTTAAAGAATATCCGCCATACTTTTTAGCTTGGGCAAATATTATTTTGTGATCCACATAACAATTTGTATAAAAATAGCTTTGTAGTATATTTTGGAATTACCTGTCGTATGTATCAGTAAACAACAATACTATACTAATAAGAAAATTTAAAGAACACAAGGCTAGACATTTTATATGTTTTGATTGGTATAACAAATAATCATAATTTTTCATTATATATTTTCCACTTGCTGTTACCCGATTATGCTTCACCCGACATAATTTTTTGTTTTACTCAGAATTGTACACTTTTGGAGTAGCTAATATTTTTTTTTAAATTGTTATTTTTAATATGAAAGTGAAAAAACCGTAGGAACGATAATTCGATTTATGTTTTCGATACAACCACCTACAGCCCCAAGTGTATAACTGTACATTCGACGTCTTGAATGTGATTACAGGAATTGACCAGATTTGGTTAGAGGGGAGGGGGTGGTCGCGAAGGACTAATAAATTGAAATAACATAGAAGAAGAACATTTCATGCAATTAACAAAGAATCTTTAAGCTTATATTTAAAAGTACAAAACCCCTCTTTACAATTTTTAAATCTCTTCGAAAAGACGCTGTTCTTAGAGTTAAGCCTCTTGATTTTAAAAACGAGCACACCCGCTCTGCTTGTTTGAGTAGCATTTTTAATCGATAACTCGATTTCTTTTAATTGAAGACTTTAATTAAAAGAAGCCTGATGTCTTGTAAGCGGCCTGGGCGGGTCTATATCACGTACAGCCCCGTATTGGTTGTTATCTTCCATCGGAAAACTCTATCTGGCCAGCTGTTAAGTAAACTGAGGCGTAACAGCATAGATAGTCGTCTTCTTTATCGCTCCTTTTCTCAGTAACTTCGTGGGAAGAATTTATTAATTCTTAAGGACGTTGCGGGCATTTAACTTATTCGAGATATATTTACAATTATCGGTACAATGTATAAAATATTCATTGCTGATATTTTAAGCACCATGCTAATTTTGTGTGTGGATTTTGTACGCTGTGGATTTTTGTGCTTTCTTGTTCTATTTTTATAGCAGAGGAAACGACATTTTATAGTTATATTATTTTATTTTGATAAAATCGGCTCTTGGTGAACAACAAAACCTCTCATAAGAACAACTCTAGGGGCATAAGAACAAGTCATCTATAAGAGAAAATGATTAAACAATGATATAACTCACGTAAAATCGTAAAAATTGCGCTATTTTAAACAAAAAGTATACAATGTATTGAAGGGTGAACCATATTTTTTTTTAAGAGTATGTTTATTGGTTTATAAATCCATCATGTTTAAACAATCAGATGCAAGGGTTGAAATTTGTACTTCTCAATTTACTGAATTGCAGGCTCTTATTGACGTGTTCTTCATGACAGATCACAAAAGCACTGATATTGTTGCACATTTTTCATATTAAAGGGCGCACTTTGCTCCTTGGTTGCACAGAGGATAAACAATAGTCCACAAATAAATCGTTCTTGTTAAACGTTATAAAGTACATGAAACGATCAGAAGTATAGAGTAAATCTCATAAAAACATTCTACACTCATTGACAGTTAAGCTGAAGATTTTCATCGGTTGATTCATAATACGATGAGTCTATGAAAAAGTCGGTACAAGTACAGTACAGCAAGAGATCATGGAAACGCTTTATCATCTCTAGTCTGTATTTCATGAACTTTTCAAACATTTTATCTAAACCATTTCCACGCTATATTTTTATCAACAGCAAGTTTTGGGCTTGTTTAAATATGTGACTTTTTATGCAATGCAAAGCCAATAGAGTCTGGTTAGTTTGGACACGTTTTAATAAAAACGTCAAATCAAATCTTAAACCTAACATTCATAGCTTCTTGAGAATCTGTCACTTGTAATCTAACTGGCGAGATTTACATAAGCTTCCAAATAACGCGTTATAACGTAAACTTGACAGGTCATATTTTTATACAGCACAGCGTGCAACACTCCCTAATGCAAAAGAAAGTACTTGTGACTACTTTAGTTAGTTATTAGGAAGTATAGAGTACACTAACTACAATATATTATATACCTCCTGCTAAAATGTCAAAGTAAATGCAACCCTATCTTAAAACATCAATTTTTTACCACACAATATTTTTTATTGTACACAAATAAGAGTTAAAAATGCTTCTAGCGGGTTTTCGTCCCGTTCTTCACGTTTAGGCGGTGTCAACTATCTTTCAAGTAGTGTGCTGACTAAAATACTAAAAATATTTTGACAGTGGATTGTACCATTTCACTAATCTAAGATATAAATGCGACACTGAAAAGAAGGTATTCTTGCACGGTTCCCAGTGCTTCGGTAGGTACTGTCTTTTTTGTTTATTCTAAATATCATTTTCAGGATTTGTTATAAAAATGTAATCACTGCAAACTACGGGCGTGTAATAAATAAAAAATATGTTGTTCATTATTTATTTCCCAGGATACAATTGCATTTCTTGATAATAAGTTGAATTTTAAGACGAATTATGTTCATCTCTACTCAGACCACACCAATAATATTTAATTATTATTAATACAAATTATCATAAACTGCAAATTAAAATACATACGGTATTTAGAGATATTGTCAAATCAGTGTTACACAATCCTAAACTGTTGAGGTACACGAAAAACTATGATGATACATTTGACACCCATGTTAGCAGTCATATGTACTAATGTTTAAAAATTATATATTTTATATTTTAATTAAATAATATCGCACAGTAACACTGTAGAAAATATAGGGATATATAGAGCTTTTGGTTTAAAAGGTACACACCATTCAAGAAAAAAGCTCAAGTGAGTTGATTAAAACATGAGGGATGACGAAAATTGAGCTGTCAACGAATAATGCTCGTCAGTTGACAATGCAGCACAGTTGTCGCATAATCTGGTAGATAGCAGCACAGGCGGTGACAGACGCCGGAACTGTCACGTGGTATCCCGCCAGATCCACCACTGCCTCCACAATCCACTTCCGTCGTCGTCGACACTGCCAAACAATACTGTAACAAGTGATATTTATCACGTTAACAGGTTTTACACCACTCTCATACACACGTTTTCTTAATTCTGTAGTTAAAAAAAAATCCCATTTAACACCTCTTAACTCGTACTGTACCGATTTGATTTGCAGATTTCCCATGTCCTATTCGTGCAGGGACCTATTAGTGTTTTTTAGCATGTGAAATTTTGTTAAGTTATCTGAAATTTTTGATTGTGGCATTATTTTCTATTCTTGTGCGAATTTGCTACTAACGGTATAATATTGTTATTTACTATAGGAAAAGTCAGTCGTGTTAGGATGTACTACTGTCTTACTGTTATTTACAGTAACTACTTTTAACACCAGCTTCAAAACGTAGGCCGCATGGCATAACTACCTTCTTAGGATGGCCCTGGTGGTTTTGGACAATCTCCTTGAAGGTAATTGAAAATAAACAAATTTAAACTAAAATTAAGACGAGTTTTAGTTACGACTAGGTTTTTACGTGAGTTAATGGTTAACAGGGATTAGTATAGATATTTAAATTTACTATGTATTTTTCCTTATATTTAACAAAATAAATTTTACGCAACACTCTTATCGCCTTACGAAATAAGATGATCACCATATGTAAAGACAATTTCATTTAGATGTAGGCCCTAACTATTGACCGTGACAAGTAACCGATGCTAATGTCAAAGGTCACGTGATGTTCAGTTGCACAATCACGTGTAATCGGTTATGTGTTATGTGACCAGACATCATTGGTCACGTGACCACCCACGTAACACGCGCCTTAAGTGAATGAATGTTAAAAAACGTTTATGCGAATATCATCTATATGTGAAATGCAATACTTATTGTCTATTAGTATATTCACCTATCTCTATGGTATATTATGTGAAACATTAAGAGATAATAGACACAAAGGATCACTTAAGCGGTTCAGGGTTATGAAATGTGGACGTAATAATCATCGAGCCGATGTTTCTCCTGTGTACGCTGTAGTGCGTTCTTATAAACAAACTCAAGCTCTATTCAACAGCTGATAGTATTCGAGATTCAGTCAAATCCATTACAATTTACGATTTTTAGCGAATTTCCCTATCGAAGTAGCTATTACGTAGGTGGCACGGTAAGATCTAGGCCCGGGACCGATTTACTTTTTCATTATGATGTCCCCAGAGGCCAAAAACACAGTGTATGTGTGTGTGTATCCGTGAACGCGATAACTTGAGTAATGTTTGTCTGATTTTGATGAAATTTGGTTAAAAGGTGTAAGGCGGAATAATAAACTTGAATGAGTTCGTGAACCAGCATGATCGGACCATGGGAACGGGGTTTTACGGGGTTAAAATTGGCTTTTCTCATTTGTGACCCTCAAAACATAAAATTTTCCCATTTATCTCTAAACCTTTTTAAGAGCTTACGTAGAAAATTTAAAAAAATATAATTTTAAAATTCTCATCCTAATCTTATGGAGAATATTGTAAAATGTTGTATTTAGCTTGTTCATGTATATATTTTTACCAAACTTGGCAAACTTATTTATTTTATACTAAGCTATTAATACTTTACTAAAACACTTTATTAGTTTCCTTGTAGTAGCAAACCTAGATACTCGTTAAACCTAGTGTTA